TATCAAGTTAAGATGCTATAATAAGGATGTCTATTGATATTAAAGGATACAGAGCAGCTATTATATCAATTTTAGATGCAATATTATGTATTACATTAGCTTTAAGGGCCACAGGGAAGATATTATATTAGATTGAAATGTTATAATATGGATATTACTTTAGTATAAAAGGCTATAGGGAGGCTATAATGTTAGTTTTGGATGTTATGGCATGAATATTATATTAACATTAAATGTCACAGGGAAACTATTATATATCAGTTTTAGATGTTACACTCTTAATATCATATTAGTATTAAAGGCATCAGGGCAACTATTGTATTTGTTTTAGATCTATGACATGTATGTTATTATTTCAGTCATCTTTTTCACTGCTTTGACCAAAGGACCTGACAAGAACAATTTTAAAGGAGGAAAAGTTCATTTAGGGGCTCACAGTTTCAGAGATCTCAGCCAATAGATGGCCAACTCTATTCCTTGGGGCTTAAGGTGGGGCAGAAGAATGTGGTGAAGGAAAGTGGTGATCAGGAAGCAGAGAACCTAAGCTCAGCTCATCAAATATGTACCCCAAAGGCACAGCCTCAATGACCCACCTCCTCCAGCTACACACTATCAGCCTGCAGTTACCACTCAGTTAATTCCTTCAGAGGATTACTAATTTGGGTTAAGGCTCTCATACCCATCATTTCACCTTTAAACTTCCTTAAATTGTCTCACACATGAGCATATCCAAACCAATTATTTGGTATTAAGGCCACAGTGCATCTATTATTTTAAATGCTGCAGTATGGATATTATATTAATATTAAAGGCCACAGGGTAGCTAATATATTTTATTAGCTTTGGATACTATAGGATGGATATCATATAAATATCAAAGGCCACAGGACAACTATTGCATCAGTTTCAGATGTTCCAATATGAATATCATATTAAAATTAAACACTTCAGGTCAATAATTATGTACTATTAGATACTCAAGTATGGATATCATGTTAGCATTAAAGTCAACATGGCAGTATATTGATTTTAACACTATCCTATAAATATCATATTAGTTTAATGGCCACAAAGCTGATATTATATTAGTTTAAGGTGATACAATATCATATTAATACTATAGGACCTATTTACCAGTTTTATATGAAGCACGTATTTATCAGTTTTATATTTATAATATGTGTATTAAATGAATATTAAATTTCATAAGAAACTTATTAAATTGGCTTCACAGGTTATAGGAATGATGTAACATTAATATTAAAGGCAACAGGACATCTATTACATCAGTTTTGGAGGCTATAATATTAGTATCAAAAGCTACAGGGGAGCTATTAGTTTAATATGCTTTAGCATGGATGTCACTTAGTATTAAATTCTATTGCACAGCTACTTACTTGTTTTAGATATTATAGTTTGCATCTATTAGTAATAAAGGCCTCCGATATAATTTTTTTGCTATAATATGGAAATCATATTAATATTAAAGGCCACAGAACAGTTATTTAATCAGTTTTCCATGCTATAGTATGAATAAAAAAAGAGTAATAAAGGGCACAAGACAGCTATTGTATTAAATTTAGAGGTCAAAGTATGAATATTATGATATTAAAGTCTAGAGGGCAGCTATCATATTAGTTTTGAATGCTATACTATCAATATTAAAGGACACAAGGATGTTATAACATTAGTTTTTCATGGTATATTATATTAGCACTAAAGGCCACAGAGCAGTTATTACTTTAGTTTTAAAGAGCACAATATGTTTATCATATTACATATCATATTAAAGGGCCCAGGCAGCTACTATATTAAGTTGAGGAGCTACGGTATGGATATCATATTAGTATTAAAGTCCACAAGGTATCTATTATACTAGTTTTAAATCCAACAGTATGGATATAATATTTGTCCTAAGGACACAGGACATATGTAATATTAATTTAAGATGCTATGTTATGGATATAATATTAATATTTAAAGCCAGAAATCATCTATTATACAATATATGCTATTATATGGATATTATAGTAAGATTAAAAGACACAAATCATCTATTATGTTAGTTTGAGTTGCAGTAGCATGGATATCATATTGGTATTTAAAGCCACAGTGCCACTATTTTATTAGTATTGGATATACTGTAGCACAGATATCATATTAATATAAAAGCCACTGGGAAGCTATTATATTAATTTTGATGCTATACTATAAAAATTGTAATAGGTTTAAAGCTACAGGGCAGCTACTATATTAGTTTTAGATATAAATTAGCTATTATATCAGTTTCAGAGGCTACAGTACAAATATGTTAGTATTAAAGTGAACAGGTTAGATATTATATTGGCATATAAATGTCATAGGGAAGCTACTAAATTAGTTCAATATGCTATAATATTGACATTGCATTGATATGGAAGACCACAATTCAGCTATTGTATCAGCTTTAAATACTGTAGTATGAATACCTATTAACATTAAAGGCCACAGGGCACTATTATTCTAGTTTTAGAAGCTTTGGTATGGATATTTTATCATTATTATAGATTACAGGCAGCCATTTCATCAGATTTAGATCAACAGTATAGATATTTTATTAATATTAAAGTTTTATATTCTGCTATAATTATTATATTACTATGAAATTCTACAAGGCTGCTGTATTATCAGTTTTTGGTGCTATAATATGTATGCACTATCAGTATTAAAACATCACTTGAAGCTATTACATTAATTTCAGAGGCCACAGTGTTTATCTCAATATTAAAGGCTACAAGGCAGCTATTATGCCAGTTTTAGATACTACAGTATGGATATTATGTTAATATTACACGTCACAGAGCAGCTATTATATTAGTTTTTGGAAGGTATAGTATGGACATCTTTAATATTAAACACAACAGGCACCTATTAGTATTAGGTACTATAGCATGAATATTATTAGTATTAAAGACCACAGGGAAGCTATTATAATATTTTCTAGGTACCATAGAGCATATCATATTACTCTTGAAGGCAAAAAGGAAGCTATTTTATTTATTTTAGAGTCTACAGTATGAATATAATATAAGAATAAAAGGCTACATGGAGACTATAATGATGCTACATATGGATAAAATTAGTATTAAAAGGCTACAGGACAGCTTTTCTGTTAGTTTCAGAGGACAAAGTATTGATATTATACTAAAGTCAAAGGCTACAGGGCAGCCATTATATTAGTTTTAGATGCTATAGTATGGCTATCATATGACATTTATAGGACACAGGGCACATATTTTATTACTTTTAGATGCTATACTGTGGATATTAGTAGTAAGGACCAAAATTCAGATATTATATAAAATTCAAAGTATGTGGGCTGGGGTTGTAGCTCAGTGATAGAGAACTCACCTAGCATGTGTGAGGTGCTAGGTTTGAGCCTCAGCACCACATAAAAATAAATAAATGAAAATGAAGGCATTGTGTCCAACTACAACTAAAAAAATTTTTTTTAAAACTTCAAAGTATATGCCCCTTTTACATATTTCATGTTGAAGTAATAACATATGTTAACTTATTATATTTTTATGCTGTCACTAGGTTCTAGGTTTTCATTCTTAAAACGTGATCACTACAGAGGAAAAAATGACATTTTGGAGATTTTATTTCAACTCATGATTTAACTTTCCTGAAAGAGTGACTTTATAAAAAATGTCTCTATTTTATTTCTATGCATACATTTTAGCAGCAATATAATCAAATATTTGTCACTGGGACAAATAGTCAAAGAACATCCATTTCCTCCAAGACCTCTACAGGAAGTGGTGAGCCAAGAGAAGCAGAGGTGTCAGATCAGTCCCAGAGTGATATTAGATGCTGCTGTGTTGTGGGAAACTCTACCTTTTAGAAATCACAGGGAGCTATGGATGCCCAAACTCTTGCATGAGTCTAAATCTAGTTAAATTCTAAGTAATCTTATTGTCACTAGCTCATCATGAAGCTAATGATAACTAAAGGATCTATGGGGCTGGGGATGTAGATCAGTGGTAGAAAGATTTCCTAGCATGCAGGAAGCCCCAGAACCACAAAGGAAAAAAAAGAATTTGTGTAATCAAATAGAAAATGAATAATTATTCCTCTTAAGGAAACATGTTGGACCTAAAACACTTGAGACTCTCAAAATCAAAATACTCTCTTTATAGTGTATTGCATAACTACACCATCATGAACAGTGGTGTCACATCATAAAGCATGTTCACATTAAGCATACCATCAAAACAACAAAAAGGCTTTATTGACTGTTGATAAGAAAAATGAACATAATCTACCTTAGGAAATTATTAACACAACATTAGGATAACATTAGGATAAAATGTAATCATGGCATTTCCCACATATAATAACTCTAAAGAATAATACATAATTTCAAAAGAAAGTCAAATTTCTGAAATCAAAAGCAAACTGATACATTTTTAAATGATATTTTGAACAGAGGCAAAACAAAGAGTTCTCCCACAAGAATTCCTAACAACATAAAGTATCATGCTCATTAGAAGGCCCATCCCTTTGTATGCAAGGAATAAGAGAACTTTCTGATGAATGTAGAACTTTAATAGGACATATGGACATGCTTTCTAAATTTTAAAGAAGAAAAATATCTTTTTTTAAAAAAAGCTTATTTTTAGTAAATGTATCTGAATTGCAAAAAAGCAGCTACTGACTTGTCTCTTACATTTTGTAATGATTTGCATCTCAGGAAATTTCATCTATAGTGGTTTTAAATATCATGAAATATCAATAGTTGACATTAAAAATATCATCCCTCTTCTCTTTTAAAATTGATTTGAAATTTTCTTAGAATAATTTCATATGAATTTGGAAGAGGCACTGTGGTATATGTATGTATGTGGAAATACATGACATTTTTTTTAAAAAAAAAATCTTTATTTTTAGTTGTAGTTAGACACAATACCTTTGTTTTATTTACTTATTTTTATGTGGTGCTGAGGATCGAACCCAGGTCCTCGCATGTTCTAGGTGAGTGCTCTACCACTGAGCCACAACCCCAGCCCCAATACATGATCTTTTTAAAGCATACCTCTCATGCTTGAGTCCTGTCAAAGACATCTTCTGTGTGTGTGGTGCTGGGATGGACTCTATGGCCTCCCACATGCCAGGCAAATGCTCTGCTACTGAGCTGCACATCCAGTCTCCAAAGATACCTTAATAAGTGGAAATTAATTTAAATCATTTGATTATGAGCATTTCCAAACAATACAATTCTCTCAAGCAAGCAAATTCTCTCAATCAAAAACAAAGTAAGCTAAAAGTAATTTTTAAAATATTCCTTATAAAAAAATAGAAGTCCACAGAATTAAAAATTCTATAAAGGGCTAGAATGTGGTGCAAAGGCAGAGCATTTGCCTGGCATGTGTCAGGCCCTGGGTTTAATCCTCAGCACCACATATAAATAAACAAAATAAATAAATAAAATAAAAAGATCCACTGACAACTAAAAAAAATATTTTAAAATTTCTATAGAAAACTGAAAGAATATTAATCAAAAATTGAATTAGAAACACCTACTGCACAGAACTGGAGACCTGGAGGCCATGGGGAATTACATTACAAAATAACTCTGAAATAAGAAAATGAATCAATTAGCATACAAAACCTTGGACTGGTACTTAGAGTTCCCCCACTGGATGGGATCCTGGGATCATCAGGGCTCAAGGCTGACTGTCATCTGCCCTTTAACAAATTCTGATTTTATTTCAAATGTTCATGATCTACAGAGAAAATTAAAAAAGAGAAAAGTGACATTTCTAAAGTTATTTTATGGTATATCGCATTCTGATTCAGTCAAGATAATTCATCCAATGCAGGATGTCAGTGTTTACACAACGGACGTTATTTGTGCACCATTACAAATATACTGCCAATTAGCACAGCAGCCAGGGAGCTGCTCATCCTAGACTAGAAGGAACAGAGTCTGGAGGAGGTGGAGGGAATGTCAGGAGGAGGAGGGGGCCTGGAAGATGGGTGGGGTCTGGAGAAGAGGCAGGGTCTTAAAGAGGAAGAGGATTGGGCTGGAGTTATGGCTCCGTGGTAGAGGGCTTGCCTAGCATGTGTGAGGCACTGGGTTCAAACATTAGCACCACATAAAAATAAATAAACAAAATAAAGGCATTGTGTCCACATGCAATTAAAAAAATTAAAAAGAGGAGGAGGGTGAGGTCTGGAGGAGGGGCAGGACAGGAAGAAGGGAAAAATCTGGAGGAGAAACAGGGTCTGAAGGAGAGGGATAATGAGCCACAAGGGGGCAGGGCCTGGCAGATGGGTGAGACCTGAGGGAGGGACAGGCCCTAGAACATGAGTAGGATGTAGAGAGGCAGGGTAGGAAGGAGGGGGAAGGTGGTTCAGGAGGACAGGCAGGGCCAAAGAATATGGGTGGGGTCTGGAGAAGAGGCAGGACCCACGAGGGTCCCTTAGCAAGAGGGTCCTGGAGGGGTGGCTTTTTGCTAATTAAACTCTCCACCAAAATAAAAATGTGTGGCAGTGGTAGCTCAGTGGTAGAGTGCTTGCCTAGCATGTGTGAGGCACTGGGTTTGATCCTCAGCACCACATAAAAATAAATACAATAAATGTATTGTGCCCTTCTACAACTAAAAAAAAAAAAATTGGACAAAACTAAGCAAAGATTAAAGAAAAAATGTGGTTCATTATTAAAAATACAGGGGATGTATTTTTTAATAAATTCTGGCTTTGTTAGAAGTAATATATTTAAACCTAAGCAGCTCAGAAGGCTGAGGCAGAAGGATCTTGAGTTCAAAACCAGTCTCAACAAAAGCAAGGCACGAAGCAACTCAGTGAAACCCTATCTCTATAATACAAAATAGAGCTGCCCCACACCAGGCATCTCCCTCAGACTGCTCTGAGGAGAATGGAACACCAGGTGTCCCTAGAGACACGAACCATAAGGCTCCCCACACCAGGAGTCTTCCTCAGACAACTCTGAAGAGAAAGGAACCCCAGGCGTCACTAGAGACGTGACCCAAGAGAGTCCCCACACTGGCGTCTCCTCCAGATGGCTCTGAGGAGAAGGGAACCCCAGGCCTACTTAGAGACATGACCTGTGAGGGTTCCCAACCCTGGTATCTTCCTCAGGAAACCCTAGAAACATGCCACACGAGGACCCCCAAGACAGGTGTCCCCCTTAGGCTGCTCTAAGGACAAAGAAACCCCAGGCATTCCTAGAGCCATGACTCACGAAGTCTCTAAGCCAAGAGTCCGCTGAGGCTTCTCTGAGGAGAAGGAAACTCCGGGAGTCCCTGGAGGCATGACCCACGAGGGTCCCCAACCTGGGTGTCTCTCTCTCAATCTGCTCTGAGAAGGGAGCTCTGCCCCTCTCTGTGGAGTGACCCAACACTCCAGTGAACTGGGGCTCTCCCGGGTTGGTCCTGATTGGGAAGCCAGCTCTCCTCACTCTCAGGGAGGCAGCATTAAAGATGGTGGCAAGGCCCTGCCCCTTCTTGACCACGCCCCTTTGGCCACGTGCAGGTGCTCCAGACCCAAGCTGCTCACAGCTCAGAGGCGGGGCCTCTCCCAGCTCCCTGGTGAATGTCAGTGCCTTCTTCCACCCTCAGCTGTTACTGAATAAAATCTGTTCCCACTGCTGTAACTAGGTCTGGCTGTGGCACCATGAGTAGTGGAATCTCAGGAGAGGAGAAATGGAGTCCAGGAGACCCCCTCCCTGCACTCCACCAGGCCAAGGGCTGCAGCAGCCTGAGCCAGGTGGGCAGAGGCACAGAGGGAGGCTTCCACAGGGAGTCTAGACCCTCACTCAGGTGCCCAAGGGCAGAGACCACCTCAAAGGCTTCTGGGACATGTAGTCTTTGAGACAGTGACTTAGCCAGGGTCTGCCCCATTTTAGAATCAGGGATTTTAAGAAAATCTGTTAATTCCCAGCCCAGGATGACCACTGTAGGAGGGTAGAAGAACCTGAGCTCAGACCAAATTCCCAGTAGCCTCTGGGACCATTCTAGGTCATTCAGTCTGTCCTGCCTATACAGCTCTCACCATGGATGCCTCTGGGAACTGCAAGCTACACAGATGGGCTTCTCAGGGATTCTGGACAGTGTAGTCTGGTGCTCTACCCACACTGTCTTTGCCCTTCAGGACCATGGAAGCTGTTTGCCATGTGCTGGTCCAGGAACCCTGGAGGACCCTGGCAGTGGACTCTGATGTTCTACCCATGCAGCCCTCACCCCAGAAACCTAGGGGTTGCAAGTAGCACATTTACCCTCATAGTGCCAGGATTCTGGGTAGTGCAGTTTCGTATTCTACAATGCAGCCCAGCTGCAGAGGTCTCTGTGAGCTGCAGGCTACTCAGGCACCCCTAGTGATTCTGAACAGTGTAGTCTGGCATTCTGCCCATTCAGCCCTCACTCCAGAAGCCTATACAGACTTCAAGTAGCACATTCACCCTCATACACCCACCCAGGATTCTGGGCAGTATAAACCAGCCTTCTACAATGCAGCCCCCCCTCCCCTGCAGAACTCTCTAGAAATTGCAGGCTACAAAGTCATTCAGGCATCCCTAGGGATTCTGGACAGTGTAGTCTGATGTTCTGCCCATGCAGCATCACTACAGTGGATTCTGGGAGCTGCAAGCCCCCAAGGATCATGGGTATTATAGCCTGGTGCTATGTTCAACTGTACAGTGACTACTTAGAGCTTGGAGCATCCAGGAATTCTGAGTATTGTAGTCAGTTCTACTCAGTCAGCCCTGACTGCAGAGGTCACTGAGAGCTGTAGGCCATTGATTATTCTGGGTTCTGCAGTCCATCCTACCTAAGGGGACTTCACCATCAAAGCTCTGGGATCTGTGTAGCACAAGCCTGCCTAGACACCCCTGGGAGTCTGTGTAGTGCAATACAAAGCTTGCCCCAGCAGTACTCAAAAGGTAGGTGTCTGGGAGCTGTAGGCCCCCAGGGATTCTGGGTAGCATAGTCCTGTCTTCTGCCTCCATAGCCCTCAGTGTGGAAGCCTCTGAGAGTTCCAGGCCACATGGACACGGGCACCTCCAAGAATTCTAGGTAGTGTAGTTCAGCTCCCTACCCTGTAGCCCTCACTATTGCAGATCCTGGAACTGTGATTCCCCCCTGAGGATTCTGGAGAAGGTAGTCCAGTGTTTTGCCTACATGCCCTTACTGCAAGGGCCATGAGAACTGAAGGCCACATGCTTGACTTGGTACTGAAGACCTCACTGTGGAAGCCTCCTGGAATTGCAGGCAGCACATTCACCAGTGTGTCCCCAGGAATTGTAGGTAGTATAGTCTGACCTATATAATGCACAACTCTCACTTGGGAGGCCTCTGGGAGTTGCAGGCTGCATACTCACCTGGAAAATACACCTCACCAAGGACTCTGGATACTGTAGTTAAGCTCTCAGTCCAAAAGTCCTCACAACAGAGGATCCTAAGAGCTGCTGATACCGAGATTTGTGGATAATATAGTCCTGTGTTTTTCCTACTCACTGCAGAAAATTCTGAAACTCAAATTCCCCCTTAGGATTGTGAGTAATGCAGTTCAATAGTTTGCCCACTCACCACAGAGGATTCTGGGAGCTGCAGTCCCTGATGATTCTGGATAATGCAGTCTAGGGTTTGCCTTCACAGTCCTGCTGAGGATCACAGGAGCTGAAGACCCCATGCTTTCCCTGGTAACCTAGAGATTCTAGGTAGTGTGCTCTAATAATACAACTGTCACCACAGAAACTTCTGGGACTTACAGGGTCGGGGTATATAGGCATCCCCAGAAGTTCTGAGCATTGAAGTCTGGTATTCTGCCCTTGCAATTCTCACCCCCAGAGGCTCATGGGCAGAGCAGGCACCCAAAAGTAATTGGTAGCATAGTTTGATATTTTGTCAATTCAGCCCTCTCTGCAGAGGTCTCAGCAAGCTGCAGGTCCCCAAGAATTATGGGTAGTACAGTTTGTCATTTGACCCATATTTCCCTCACTTCAGAAGGCTCTGGTAACTGCAATGAGGATTCTGTAGTTAGCCAGGATTCAGGGTACTGCAACCCATCATAATCTTTACATCTCTCACCCTAGAGGCTCCTGAGAGCTATTTACTGCATTTTCATGAGCCCTTATCCTCAGGCCTCAGTGAGACTCCAGACACTGGGCCCTCCCTGCACCACTTTGAGGGGGCATTTGTGTCCTTAGACACTCAAGCCACACAAAATACATTGACATACCATGATAATGAGCAGCCAAAGCCTCAGTAAGAAATACAGTTGTTGTTGTGGGGCTGGGGATGTGGCTCAAGCCATAGTGCACTCACCTGGCATGCGCTGGGGCGCTGGGTTTGATCCTCAGCACCATATAAAAATAAATAAAGATGTTGTGCCCACTGAAAACCAAAAAAAAAAATATTAAAAAAAGAAATACTGTTGTAAAATAAGTTCTGCTAAAATATTACCTGAGAAAGTAAAGAACATGGCAGAACTTACTTCTCAGTACAACAGGCAGTGCACAGGAAGCTTCTTCATAATGTTTTCCTCACATGGACCTCAGGCATCCTGAATCCACAGTGGAGTCTCCATGGGTAGGTGCCAAGGAGAAGGAAGCTCTGGTCCTCACCATAGATATATCCACCAGGCATCCCCAGGCCATGATATCTTTATAGGTGTGTCCCAAGGATTAAAAAAACAAAAAACAAAAAAAAAAAATGGTCTACACCTTAGATAGAGCCCCTAGGAGTCCCTAGATGTGGCATCTCTC